CTTCTAATTTTATTGGACATAAATATATATATATATATATATATATATATATATATATATATATAATATAGAACATAGTCATCAAATATTATCTCATCTCATAACCATCTAACACGATTACAAATTTGAGCATAGCCCATACATTAATGTAAAGAGAGCCACATATCGGATTTATACAATCTATACTCAAATGAAAAGAGGGAGGATATAAGAGTCTTAGAACTAAAACAACAATAACATTAGCTCAATATTGGAATCGCCCTCAAACAATGAGGACCTACCCTACTTGGATGATCCAAAGGATCCAAGCCTTCTTCAAGTTGCCTTCCAAAACCTTTCAATGACTGGAACCTAAAATGTTGGGGAAAGGAAGAAATTGAGTTAGTATGCCACTTGTACTAAGTATGAGACCATATGCACACATTTTTGAAAAATATGCTAAGAAAAAGGTTATTTCATAAAGTATGCATTTTCCATTAAAAAACCTTTACACACATTTAAGAAGACTAAACGAACTATTATTGCATATTCATGAAGTCATAGGCATGTTAATCACAATACTACAACATCAAGTCTAGTCAAATCAACAATTCATACCATATATGTTGATATACACTCAAGTAACTCTATCATCAAGTCATATTAATAATAAGCATGAATAAAAGTACATTTCATTATAAAAAAAACAAGACAATTACCCATGGACCCCTATAAAGTCAACAAGTTCAATAACCAAGAAAAGCCCCATAACCTTACTCAATCAAGTAACCCAACAAGAACCATGACTAATACCCTACTTCATATAACATGAAATTTAGATATACATTTCATCTTACTTTAACAATATAAACCAACTCATATTTATAAGTGAAATAATAAACATATAGTATCAACAAAGTGAAAGCTCATCATGCACATATCATATATAATTATAAGCATAATCATACATAAGAAACATCCTCCTAATACTCCCCTCAAGGCTAACTACTGCAATTCTTAGGTAGAGTCACAAACCCCTACCCAGACTAAGATAGACCCCTTAGGTTGTCCTAATTAAAGTTCGATCCTTTGATTCATTTTACATTATGGGAACATATTTCCCTAACAGACAAAGACCACATGAGCTAGTGTGGAATCAGGTGTAGGTGGACTACTGGCCAAGGTAGTACCAAAACATAAAACATAGAAACTACGTGGATCCACTATCTAATATTCCTATGAGGGCAACATAGTTGAAGAACTAGGAGATACAGTTGGGACCCACTATATTCTACATACATTGTAGTCTCCAATCATAAGAGTAATTTGATTCTCCTACCTCCCCTATGTGGTAAGGGATACTCCTCACTCTAGTTCCCTCGGTACTAAGCTAGAGTACCTTTTTGAAATGTCATTAAGCCTTTAATTATCAATCATAGCTTAGTTTGGGTCATAGGGTCTAACCCTTGCATAGCATCATCATCATGATAGCTCAATAAGAATTTCATGAGTATAAGTCCTTTCATCACAATTCAAATCGGTGAGGTTATCACATTAGCATTTTATATCATGATAAGGCACATTGGTAGTCATCACCATACTTATAACATATAAACCTTAATCAACCTCACAACATAGTCAAGAAATTTCAATTCAACATCATAAAACCCTATCAATCCTAATACAAGGTATACTCAAATGCAACATCATGACTTAATCACAATTAACCATAATTTGAAGTAAATGATAGAAATCATAAGGCTTACCAAGTCTCCTTCATAGTTTATCGTCAAGGTTGTACCAAAAATGCTAACTCAACCAAATTTTATGTATACATCATCTTAAATCAATAATTAACATGATAACAAGACTAGAACAAACACTATCTCACAATTCATTAGTAAATCATAGCTTAAAACAAATTACTTATGTCAATTCACTCCTAACCTAGATCATCTTCTCAAGACTAGCATGAAATGCTACAATTCACTCTAATTTGTTAATGATTAATGTAACAACATCATATAAAGGTAATTCAATGAATAACCAAGTTAATTCAACCAAATACAACCTAATTTATATCAAAATCAAACCTAGGGTTAAGGGTTGAGGGTTATCTTCTATAAACTAGACCAAACCATCAAGATATGCCAGTATTAGGTCAGAATACATGTTAATAAATTCATATTATCCAATGTAAAACATAAAAAATCCAATTCACAACATAATTTTCGAGATTAAGAATGACCCACATGAAAACTCAACTTTTGAAAATACTTAGAATTAACCCTTTGAGGATAGAGGTCTCAAAGGTGAATTAGATCTCATACATCATTCGATGAATATTTGATTGGTTAATTCATCCATTTTCATCCCCCAAATCCCTCCCTTAGCTAGTCTTCAATGGTGTCCTCCAATAGAGAGTGAAAGAAGATAGAAGGAAGAGAGTTTGTTTTGAGATTTGTAATTAGATTAATGGGGTTGGGTTCATTATATGGGGAATTAAATTAGTTAATTAGGCTTCCCTAAACCCCTTAAAAACCACCTAATGACTTAATTAATTATCTAGAACTTAACTTAAAACATGCAGGAAAATGGATAGTCTCTGATGAGATCCCGATAGACCGTCCGTCTGTGAGTCGACGGTCACTGTGCCCTTCAGTGATGCACGCCCGTCGTTCTTGTCAAAGAGTGTGCAGGTGATGGCGTCCAACAAAATTGCTAAGTTTTTGTTCGTAGTTGGAATCAACTCCCTTTCGATCAACACACACCCCGTCGATTGCACTCTCATGGGGCACACTGCCCAGGCAGTGTTAGCACCAATAAGGGTCCTCCTCAAGGTCCCTTTGATGGGCCTTGGGGAGTCGTACCCAGAAGTTTCAAGTATGAATTAAATTACACACATGTTTGTATCTACCCTTTACCAATATTTATGGATTTTTGATTCCTAAAAGCTAGTTAAATACGGTTAGGCATGCTAGTACATCCTAGAACTAGTTTCCGGATGTCATGGACGTTCTTGGATGTTTTGGTTTCTAGACTTACTAAATGACTTATAAATATTACAATAGGCCTTAAAATAGTGTATATATTGCATGACCCTTATGTTAGGCTGTTAGACGCATCTTGGATTTTTGAAGTGTTACCAACATCGTATATACGCTTTGTGGTTATATCATGATTTTGAACTTTGTTTAGTTGTTTACTCAATTATGCTACTGTACATGTTGAGTTGGTTTTACTTGATGATGTTTGTCTTGTGTTGAACATGGTGTTGTCTTAAGGAATATGTTATTATTGACTCATGACTGTTCTTGATTGTGCATAAGGCTTTTTCAAAGTAACTTAGAAAGGTTTTGAACAAATGTTCCCTTTAGAATGATTTCAAATGTTTTATAAGCATATTCCCATACTTATTACAAGTGTGCACGAACCCATATTTCTATATTTCTACAATTGTGTAGGTTCCGGCTGTTGAGCTTCTGGAAGGTCCATTTGAAGATAACTTGGACTATGTGTCTCTCCATGTTCCGTAGGTCCTCACCATCCTGGACGATGCCACTATCTATCTATTGATTTCGTTCTAGTTCAAATTCATTGTGTTCATCTCTTTCGATTTGAAGATGATTCTTTTATATGCCTATATGTGGCCTTTGTTGTATTGAAATAAGGGTTATGCCCGATATTGCATTTGATTGAGATGGTTTATATATGAGACTTATCCTAGACATCCTATGAGATTATATTGCCATATTATGTATGTGAAATAAAAGTAGAATCTTATGTAGTGCTTCCTAAGAGAGGAGTCTATGTAACCTCCTATGTATATATTATGCGTATGCAAGAGGTCTGTGTAGACCTCATGAAGTAGATGTAGATGAAATGCTTTAATTATCTACCTTTTTAAACTATGAAATGTAATGATTAATTGTAAGAGGTTATTCTTAGTCTTCTTCGAGGATGATAACACCAGTTACTTCTAGGAGGTGCTCTCCAGATGTGACAAACTTGGTATCAGAAAATGAGGTTGAATATATTTAGGATCGATATCTCACTAAACCACATTTATGTAAATTCTTATTCATAATTGTGAAGAACTCCACACTTATGAATGAGAGAGTATGTGATGCTTAGGAAATACTCAAGACTTCCTTGATGAGGTCTATATGATCCTTTTTTCTATGGGTGTCACTCCAATTGAGAAGGTAGAGTTGGTAGCCTATCAACTCAAAGATGTGGCCCAAGTTTGGTATAAACTATGGAGAGATAATAGGGTGCTAAGAGGTGGTCTTGTGACTTGTAAGATATTCAAAAGGGCATTCCTTGCTAGGTTCTTTATTAGAGAGATGAGGGAAGCTAAGGTGAAGCATTCATCAACCTTTGTCAAGGAGGTGTGAGTGAACTTGACTACTCTTTGAAGTTTACTAAGTCGTCCAAGTATGGAACATCATTGGTTGCTAACCCAAGGGATGTGATGGTTCATTTTCTTACGAGAGTGTCTGATTACTTGGTGGAAGAATGTCGTTCGGCTATGCTTTATCATAATATGAATTTCCATCGTTTAATGGTTCGTGCTAAACAAGTGGAAGAATGTAGGGTAAGGAGGAAGAATATAAAGGCCAAGAGGGTCAAGTCTTTTTAAAGTGGTTCTTCAAAGGGGAGGTTAGAAATTCAAGACAAGCCTAGATTCAAGAAGAGGTTATCAAATTAAGTTCCTTCCAAATTTCCCAAGGCTCATGATGATAGGGTGTCTAACGTAAGACTCAAATGTAGGTGAACCTGCGGAAGGATCATTGTCGAAACCTGCACAGCAGAATGACCCGCGAACTCATTTTAAACACGTGAGGGCGGCGCTCGCTCGTTGCGTGCCTCCCTCCCGTCGCCCGACGCGCGCAAGCTGTTCGGGCAACCAACGAACCCTGGTGCGGAAAGCACCAAGGAATACTACTATCGACAGCCCTTCCCTCGCACCCCGAACGTGGATCGTGCGTGGGGATACGCGCTGCTCTGTAAACATAAACGACTCTCAGCAACGGATATCTGGGCTCTCGTGTCAATGAAAAACGTAGCGAAATGCGATACTTGGTGTAAATTACAGAATCCCATGAACCATCGAGTCTTTGAATGCAAGTTGCGCCTGAAGCCATTTGGCCGAGGACACATTTGTCTGGCCGTCACGCATTGCGTCGCCCCCCTCCCCCCGCACGCCGCAAGGCTGAGCAGAGGTAGAAGCTGGCCTCGCGTGCGCCCCGAGCTCGCGGCCGGCCTAAATGCGAGTCCACATCGACGGACATCGCTGCAAGTGGTTGTTGAAACTCAACTCTCTCTTGTTGTCATGGCTCCAGCCCGTCGCGGGTTTTGACTCCCTGAACCTCACTGCGCCTTACCAGTTGCTCCAACCGCGACCCCAGGTCAGTTGAGATTACCCATTGAGTTTAAGTATATCAATAAGTGGAGGAAAAGAATCTTAGAAGGATTCCCCTAGTAACGGCTAGCGAACCGGGAACAACCCAACCATAGAATCGAGCAGCTCCGTCGTCTGAATTGTAGCCTAGAGAAGCATCCTCAGCGGCGGACCAGGCCTAAGTCCCCTAGAAGGGGGCGCCGAAGAGGGTGAGAGCCTTGTCGTGCCCGGACCCTGTCGCACCACGATGCGCTGTCTACGAGCCGGATTGTTTGGGAATGCTGCCCAAATTGGGCGGTGAATTCTGTCCAAGGCTAAATACTGGCGAGAGACCGATAATGAACAAGTATCGTGAGGGAAAGATTAAAAGGACTTTGAAAAGAGAGTCAAAGAGTTCTTGAAATTGTCGGGAAGGAAGCGGATGGGAGCTGTCTATGCACCCCGATCGGATGTGGAACGGTGACGATTCGGTCCGCCGATCGACTCGGGGCATGGACCAGTGTGGATTTGGGGGGGCCAAAGCCCGGGCTCTCGATACACCCGTGGAACACCGTCTCCCTGATTGTGGAAGGCAGCGCGCATCTCCGGCGTGCTTTGGCATCTGTGCGCTCCAAAAACTGGCCTGTGGGCTCCCTATTCAACCCGTCTTGAAACACGGACCAAGAGGTCTGACATGTGTGCGAGTCAACGGGCGAGTAAAACCATAAGGCGTAAGGAAGCTGATTGGTGGGATCCCCCTGAGGGGTGCACCGCCAATCGAACTTGATCTTCTGAGAAGGGTTCGAGTGTGAGCATGCCTGTCGGGACCCAAATAATGGTGAACTATGCCTGAGCGGGGCATATCCAGAGGAAACTATGGTGGAGGCCCGCAGCGATACTGATGTGCAAATCATTTGTCTTACTTGGGTATAGGGGAGAAAGACTAATCAAACCGTCTAGTAGCTGGTTCCCTCAGAAGTTTCCCTTAGGATAGCTTGATCTTGGGGGAGCAACGACCTCAACCTATTCTCAAACATTAAATAGGTAGGATGGTGCGACTACTTTGTTGAGCCGCGCCACGGAATCAAGAGCTCCAAGTGGGCCGTTTTTGGTAAGCAGAACTGGCGATGTGGGATGATCCGGAAGCCGAGTTACAGTGCCAAACTTTGCGCTAACCTACATCCCACAAATGGTGTTGGTCGATTAACACAGCAGGACGATGGTCATGGAAGTCGAAATCCGCTAAAAATGGTGTAACAACTCACATGCCGAATCAACTAGCCCCGAAAAATGGATGGCGCTTAGGCGCGCGACCTACACCCGACCGACGGAGCAAGTGCAAGGCCCCGATGAGTAGGAGGGCGCGGTGGGTCGGCAATCGTCGGGCTTGGCATGCCATCATAGCCCTTGGACAGCACATACGGTTGGACGACGTCGGGCGTGACATGCCATCATCGCCTTTGGACTAGCTGACAGTCGGACGACATCGGGCGTCATATGCCATCATCACCTTTGGACTAGTTGATACGGTCAGACGACATCGGGCGTGGCATGCCATTTTCTCCTTTGGGGAGCACAGATGGTCAGACGGAGTTGGGCGTGGCATGCCATCATCGCCCTTGGATAGCACACAGGGTCGGCCGTCGGGCGTGGCATGCCATCATAGTCCTTGGACAACACAAATGGTCAGCCGTCGTCGGGCGCAGAATGCCATCATACCCTTGGAAAGCAAACACGATCAAACGACGTCGGGCGTGGTATGCAATCAGCGCCTTTGGACAGCACATACGGTCGAACAACGTCGGGCGTGGCATGCCATCATGGCCCTTGGACAGCACACACGGTCGAACGACGTCGGGCGTGGCATGCAATCATAGCCCTTGGACGGCAATCATGGTCGAACGACGTCGGGCGTTGCATGCCATCATCGCCTTTGGACTAGCGGACACAGTCGGAAAGCATCGGGCGTGGCATGCCATCATCTCCCTTGGACGGAAAACACGATCGAACGACGTCGGGCATGGCATGCCATCAGCGGCTTTGGACAGCACACATGGTCAGACGACGTCGGGTGAGGCATGCTATCATCACCTTTGGGAAGGACAGACGATCAGACAGCATCGGGCGTGGCATGCCATTTTCGCCCTTAGACAGCACAGACGGTCGGCCGTCGTCGGCCGTGGCATGCAATAATATTCCTTGGTCAGCACACACGGTCGGACAACGTCGGGCGTGGCATGCCATCATCGCCTTTGGACAGCACAGATGGTCGCCCGTCGTTGGGCGTGGCATGCAATCATAGCCTTTGGACAGTACACACGGTCAGACAACGTCGGGCGTGGCATGCCATCATCGCCTTTGGACTAGCTGACACGGTCGGACGACATCAGGCGTCACATGCCATCATCGCCTTTGGACTAGCTGACACGGTAAGACGTTTTCGGGTGTGGCATGCTGTCTTCGCCGTTGGGCAGCAAAGACGGTCGAACGATGTCGGGCGTGGCTTGCCATCATCTCCCTTGGACACCACTGACGGTCGGCAATCGTCAGGTGTTGCATGCCATCATAGCCCTTGGACAACACAAACGGTCGGCCGTCGTCAGATGTGCCTGCACACAACGGTCGGCTGTGGCCTGCCCGCATAAGTCGTGGCTTGCGCGACATTGTTTGAGTTCTAGACGAAACATGCGGATGTTCATGCCGTACATAAATCAAAGGATTTTGAAACAACCTTTATGCATATCAAACATATTCATCTACTTTCCATTATTTATTCTCTAACGTTTCCGCCGAACGTGGCTCTTTCGCATCATTTTCATTACTTTTACGGTTCGTACGATGTTGAAACATCTTTTATTTGTGCAAATATATATCTTATTATTAATTAGACATGTTTAGAAATGTTTTTGAGCATTTTCGTATTTTTCCGACTTTTAATCATTATTTTATAATTTATTTTTACGCTTTTCAATTTTTTACGTCTCCTTTTAAGAATTAAAATTTATTAAATTTTTTATTTTAAGGTTCCCATATTTATTTGTGAATTTTCGGAGTTGATTTCATTTTTTCGATATTTTCCCTATTTTTATTAATTTATTACTAATTTTTCGGAATTTTCGAAATTTTTTTTAAAAAAAAGTTGAAAAATATTTTTTTATATATATTAAAGTCATTTGTGAAAGGTGATGTTTGTTTGTAGCTTAGAACGTTCATATTTGGGTTGTACATTTCCATATGGCTTAAGTCATCTACAACCACTTAAAGTTGTCCACATATTTCATTCAGGCAACTTATTTTAGAGTTATTTCAATTGTACACCTTTTTTAGTTAAAAAAAATACCTATCAAACATATTTTGACAATCAACTAAAAATAAAGATGGTGTGTCATACCCTCGCGGCTGACATGGCATGGTAGCTAAAGAAAAAGGACATCTGGCATTGGGCCCAGAAAAACACAATTAAATAAATAAAACATTTTTTTTGAGAAAAAAAAAATTAAAAAAGAGCAGCCTTCCCTTTTCTTCTTCTTCTTTTTCCCAGAACCACTCCCACCCCAACCCCAACTTTATATTCCACATTTTTTTACCAAAAGACACAAAATCGAATCACGTTTTGAATAACCATTTTCACTTTGACATTTTTCCTTTTAATTTGAAATTATATGTTTCTTTTTTCGATCAACCCACCTACCCCTCTCCTTGAATCTAATTCAATATTGGAAATGATATTTCTTCCAAACACACTTTTTCTTAATCATTAATTAAGATTTGTTAAAATTGAAAAATAATAATAACAAATTTTGTACAAAAAAAATCTATTCATATCTTTTTTCATCATATTTAATAGGACTTCGTCAAGATATTTGAAACTTAGATCAACATAACAAAGAAAAAGGAAAAGCAGAAGAAGAACGATAGAGGGTGAGAGAAAGAGAGAGGTGGAGGTGGTGGTGTGTAGTGTAGTGTGCGTATGTAAAAAGATTATGAAAAATGGTGGAAGAATAGTTGCAACAATATTGGGGAAGAAGATGTATGTTTCTTCTTTTCTTTTTTGTTAATTTTTTTTAAAATTAAATTAGGTGTAAAAGTTAATTAAAAAAAGAAAATATATTATTTTTCATAACTTAATGCGCTCAAAGAAAGTGAACTACACATTTTTTGCCATGTCAACATTTTGTGTTCAATGGAAATGATTTTTGAACAAATAAGGTGTTCAATCGGCATATGGATGAGTTAAGGTGTCTAAGTGAATTTTGCGGACAACTTTAAGTGGCTGCACATGACTTAAGCCTTTCCATAATGATTCTCTAGAAAATACATGTCTACTCGTGTCACATGGGTAAAACTTTTTTAAGCATTTATAAGGGGGGTAGAGGTGTTGGAGGCAGACTGAGGCGCAGGAAAGAAGACGGCATAGGCGTCCTGTGGGCTTAGTAGGCGTGTTGCGTGGGCGCTTGATGTCATGCATGGCTTGTCCGTGCTACGCCGTTGGGCGTTTACAAAAACAAGTCGGTGACATCGACGGGTCGAGTGAGGCAAAGGCAGGTGGACAGCAAGGGCGTCATGTGGGCTTAGTAGGCGTGCTGCGTGGTCTCTTTATGGTATCCATGGCTCGTCCGTGCTACGTCGTTAGGCATCTACAAAAACATGCTAGAGACGTTTACGTGGCGGCTGAGGCGAAGGCACAGGAACGTCAAGGGCGTCCTATGGGGTTAATAGGCATGCTGCTTGGGCGCTTGAAGACATGCATGGCTCGTCCGTGTTACGCCGTTGGCCGTTCACAAAAACATGCCC